AATATTACGTTTTTTTTACTGTATTTTTGATCAAATAAATGCATTGATGAGCCTTGGTTAGCAAAAGAGACTTGCAAAATCACTAAAAAGCCATACCGACCACAAACTTTTGAGCAGTAGTATATGTTGCATTCAAATTGCATTAAAAAGTGCATTCAGTGGAGCATCATTTTTGCAAACCCTTGCATTTCATTTTTTATTTTTTACCATTTCAAACCTAATTATTCCCAGCATTCTCTGATGCAGTGTAAACTCTAGTGTAGCATGTAGATGCCCTTATTTCTCGGACACCCATCAGGAAACAAAGAGACTCACCCTCTTCCTTAGTGACACCCAGACAGCCCATCAGTTCCTGGAGAGACAGGGCCTTATCATTGCTGATGTCACAGTACTCTACAAATTTCTTCACACACTTCTTGGGCTTGGCTTTCTTGCGCAGTAAACGCTTGAACGGTTTGATTTCTTTCTTTCCGATGTCGCCGCTGGAATTCTTGTCAAGCTGACTGAAATACCAGTGAACAACTCGTTCTTCCAGAGTATGACTGGGGTCTGGCTCCAGCATCCTGAATGGAGGAAAAATCAAACACTGATGTTTACATGCACATGATTTTCCAGATAAATGCCTGTGAAACATGTACTGTATAAACATATTAAATGAAGTTTTTCATTTGCTGCCTTTTGATAGGGGCCTGAATAGCAGCGTCAATTAATCCAGTCAGTCAGCTAATGAACTAAGAAAATATTTTTACACCACACTGTAGGCACGGTCAGTTAATTTCACGAACATCTACATTTGTAATGAATTCCATTACATCTACATTTGTCATTTCTCAGTTTCTTGTTTACCTGCCAGCAGAGGCCGGGTCAGTTACCGCATGGACCGTGTCTGTGGACAATGCGTCCAACACGCTCGTAAGGAATTCTGTCTTCTTCTCCCCAGGACATCCTGAAAAAAAAGACAATTACAAAATGAGCTGTGGTGCTTAACTGTTTAGAATAACATGGTCGAGAAAAAGAAAAAAAAAAG